CTCCTCCTCTGTCCTATTCCTTCCCTTTCCTTTTTTCCTTCGTTCCGTCCCTTCTCGTTAAGTAGGTTAAGTTAGTACTAATTGTTTCCGTTCCTTCTACCTAGGACTTCTAATCACGACCTAGGACAGACCTACTTGGTTTAATTTAGTCTATTAGTACGATAAGTACACACTACCTCGTCGTGTGTGTGTGTGTGTGTGTGTGTGTGTGTGTGTGTGTGTGTGTGTGTGTGTGTGTGTGTGTGTGTGTGTGAGGTGTGTGTGTGTTCATGTTTCTACACATCCTTGTCTGCAAGATGTATTTCCTCTATGTGGTTAATTATGAGCACCAGGTGTGTACAAATTGTGTGTTTACAGCTTTCTTTTAATATTGTTTTTTTACATCCTGTTCATCCCCTTGTGTACCCATCCTCTATAAGTCAGCGTGTTGACTTAAGGAGTGCATGTTGGAAAGGGGACTTTGATCGATGGAAATAATTAGGGCATGGTCGACTGTTTTAAAGACCATGCATGCGTAGTGAACATCATTACACTCACAAATGAATGAAAGGACACAGGAAATCAAACATGTGAGCACAATTATGTAAAAGCTATTCACCAGGAAGCATTAGAGCTTTTACTCAATTGTTCTCCTGCTTCCTTCATTTTTACAGGACTAGCATTTAGTTTTTGTCTGACAAATAGCTCCAACAGCATTATCGTAGATGTGTTATGTATTTTTTTTTATAGTTAGTCATGCCATCAGAGGCATTCAAGACTCACATGAACATAATTATACAACAGCTGAAAACATAAAGCACTGCACACATTTACAGCACACTGACACCGACAGCACAAAAAAAAGTCCCAAGTTTGGCTGATGCTGTTCTGGGTGACCATCACGTCACGGTTGTGTCCCAAATATAAGACGTTAATGACGGACCACTGGTTGCTAACCCCCGCCCCCCCCTCCTCCCCCGGCCTTGCCTCACCCTCTTTAGGCAAAGGCCTCCATCTCTCTCGCAGCCAATCGCTTCGCTCGGTGGACAGCCGCAAGCGTGATGACGTAGACAAGCCCCGCGGCGGACAGCAGAGCCCTCAGACAGGTAAGACAACGGGACGCAGAGGGAACCCATGCATCAGTCACTGTGGCAGCTTGGGTGACCAGCACATCTGTACACTTTACACACCATGACCACAAACAACACACTTTTAATCTACACATCTATCAAAATCTCCCAAAGCAGTGCCTCGTCCGCAGTGGACTAATTCCAACATGGACCCTGATTGAACATAGTGAAATGGTATTTTATGTGGGTCATAACAGGACACTGTGCCCTGTCTGTAAAACACTACACCGAGTCTCTGTTAAAGTGATACTCCACCCAAAAACAGGAAAAGCGAGCACTCAATAGTAGGCTGAAGGAACCGATTAGGGGGCATTAGAAACCCCCTCAAAATGAGATACAAGTCTCCTGTCTGGTGTATTTGGAGCTAGTTGTTTAGCCTAGCTTAGCATGATGGCATGGCAGCTTCACTGTGATGTCAAAATAAATAGTTACACACATTACTCCCCTAAACCTTAATACATTACATTATTACATTACATTACATGACACTTGTTAGACGCTTTTATCCAAAGCGATTTACATACTCAATACTGTGGGCAATCCCCACAGGAGCAATTTGGGGTGAAGTGTCTTGCCCAGGGACACAACGTACATACATAAGTGAACTTTATGGGTAAAAGATGTTGCTTTTTTTACTTTGAAAAAGCAATCTAAGCTGTGTGCCTCTTTATGCTTATCGAGCTAGTTCATTAGCCTCTTGGCTTTATCTCCGAACTTAATGAACAGACGAGAGACTGGTATCAATCTTTTAAAAATGTGAAACATTACTAAGCGGATAGTTAACATGGATAAATATCTATCAAAGAAGATGGATGAAGAAAGTGGACCATGATGCAGGGTTGGCTGCAATGGATTTTTTGATCTCCACCAACCACAAAAGTCACTGTTGGATACCACCGTTACTGATATTAATCCAAGCAGAATTCACGTAAAGACCTTTCAAGCCTAAAGGGTTTGCAGTTTTGACACACAGAGCATTTGTGTGAAGTATCACTTTACCTAGCTAATCGATTCACCTCTTCCTGTTTAGTTCTTTTCTCCCTGCTTCCCAAGCTTTAACTGCCAAATTCTTCCCTATTGGTGAATGTACCTATTACATTGGCAGTCATGGCCATTGAAAAGATGACTGACATATCCTAAGCCAGTGGCATTAACTTCCAGTGGAAGTTAATGCAGAGGATATGAAATCAGAGCCCCACAGTTGAAGAAGAACAAGCAGAACAAAAGCTGGGGTACATTTCAGGGGTCGCCTCCTTTTGAAGGATGTCGTTTACGAATTTAGACAGAACATTAGATGGTTTGGACCTGCAGCTCAGTTCCTATGGAGCAGGTCTACAAAGGATGTAAGCCCTCTGGCAAGTTCCTATCATTGTCTTTGAAAGTATGCGATGAGCAATCAAGGCAAAAACAAGCTGCATGTAGAGGAACCATTGGACTGGGTGAGCCTCATCCTCCTGTCGCCTCAGAAGGAGGCAACCCTTAAAATGTGCCTCAGCTGGAATCTACCCTCACACCACAACCCTTCCTGTTTTGGCCACAGAGGCCGCATCCCGCATGATAATTAGTTATGGCCCTTTCCTTTTCCTTTTCCTCTTTCTTCTCCTTTTATCCTCCTATCCTTTACCCACCCCCCCTCCTCAGTAGACACAGCTTCAGGTGAGGAGTGGTCAGCGTGGAGTGTGTGTTCTGCCACTTGTGGGGAGGGCTGGCAGAGTCGCACTCGTCTCTGTGTGTACGGCTCCTACAGCACCCAGTGCAGTGGGAAACTGCGCGAGCAGAGAGCCTGCAACAACTCTGCTGTTTGTCCAGGTAAGCCCCCCCCCCCACAAACCCTTTCCTCCACTTCCACCTCCCTGTGCTCGCCAAGCCCTCTCCTGGACCCTGCCTCACCCATAAAAGACCCTTCTGACTCACCAGGCACTTAACAGATCTGTCGCCCCTGGGTGTATTTGTCCCCTCACTTTGCCTGCAGTTAGGAAGGACCCCCACTATTATCGCATATATTCCACAGTGCTCTCAGGCTCTCGTACATGCAGACAGGCAGGGAGACCCCTCAACTTAGAAAGCAATATCATCCCAATCACTGGCTAAACAGCAGTCATGTATCTGAGTCAGGTTGACGGTTGAGTTCTCTTGTTGTGGTGTGTTGAGGGGGTCTGTATGTGTGCCTGTCTATAAATCATACCCTAGCTGCTCTGATTGCAGTGCACGGCGCTTGGGACGAGTGGTCGCCGTGGAGTTTGTGTTCATCGACCTGTGGCCGAGGTTACAGGTCGCGAACACGAACCTGCGCCCCCCCACAGTTTGGGGGCGATGCCTGTGATGGCCCAGAGAAACAGACCAAGTTCTGCAACATAGCTGTCTGTCCAGGTGAGGAGCACATTCAAGCATCATCTATTTCAAATCGTGCATCATTGGAATGAAATGTAACCTTACCGCATGCAACCTTTCACAAAGCTACTTGTACCTTTTTGTTAATAAAATTGATTACATTCTGTCCCCCCTATAATGGCAGGATTATTACCTTTCTTTCAAGTGTGCCTATTTGGAAAAGTGATCAACACGTTTGCCTATTAAAGCTGCCCGTCACTGCAGCATGTAACCATATTAAAACAGTACAGTATGTAATGTGAACCAGGTCATGAATATCTGTAGATCAGAGCTGCCAAACATAGACCCTGCAGGATGAACTTACAAAGTGTAAAGCTTTAAAGAGAGGACATGGAATGCAACTTTCACAACTTTGATGTATTTTGTATTTATACATTTACAAGGCAGGGGATTAACTTGACCTTCTGCCTTAATAGTTCCCACTTTAGTTTGTATGGTGCTGCGTAAATTCAGGTGGACCAGATGACTACACAGATGTGGAAATGAATGTTAAATGTAGTTGTTTTGATCATTAAGTAAAATACTATTATGGTTCAGTTCAAGATTCGGAGACTAAATGTCTTGAAATGACACTTATTGTTCTTAAGAAATGTCTGGTTGTTCATAATGTTTTACAAAAAGATTACATGTAGACATTTTCAGGATGTACTTGTATGCACTAAAACAAAGGGAACAATTTAAAGTTGTCATTAAAGGGTTATTATGCTTTGATTTTACTGGTCAACTCCCCTGCCTTTCATATAACAAAAACACAAAGAATAAAAGAAAATATGGAATGTCTAAGTACACATTGTTTACAGTGAACCCTATGTGGAGATGGAAAACTGCAACTCTATTTATTACATTTTTGGGTTTTTTATATAATCAATAATGCGCCAAATGCATGTATTTTCCGTGTTCTCTTCCCTGCGACCCTGCTACTGACCTGGTGCCCGCTCCCAGTGGATGGAGTGTGGAACGAGTGGTCCAACTGGAGCTCGTGCTCCGCCTCCTGCTCCAACGGGACCACTCAGAGGACCCGGGAGTGTAACGGCCCCTCGTACGGGGGCTCCGAGTGCAGAGGGGAGTGGCTGGAGACCGTTGACTGCTTCCTTGGGGAGTGCCCGGGTATGAAAGAGACAAAGCCAGAGCTAAATATTTACTGTGCTCCAATAATGTGTTCCTTGCTCTTTCACTACTAGCTATTGTATATAATAACATATTTAATCAAACATGCATTTACTTAGAATGTACTTCATTGTTACACACAGAAGGTACTTTCTGTTTCTATTGTGTTCTATTGCTTTTCAGTTCGATATTGAATAATTTGTTCTGGTCAAACTCTTTTGAACACATACTGGCTCCTCGGGTTAGTCTTAGCAGTGCTTCATGGTTTCACGTGGCTTTAAAGGACCATGCAGTGTTTGTGCATGTGTTATCCAGTGTGGTCGGAACATTGTAAGAAGATGCCACGTGAGAAGTCGTTCAAAAAAGAAAAAGTCTGACATTTCTTTATTTACATAAAAAGAGGGGGAATCAGACATACAATAAACCAAATTCACTGATTCAGCTACCAGAGGGCTTGCATTGCCTAGACCAGGGGTCACCAACCTTTTTTAGGATGAGAGCTATTTTCAAAAAATAAAACAAGTCGAGGGCTACTTTTATTCCTCTTTTTTTTGCTTTTTGCAGTGTATATATTTAGCACATTTTAACATTAGTATATGCTGACCTTTAACCTTTGTGTGCTGTTCGGGTCTTTCAGTGTTGACTAAAAGAATATGTATTCAATTTAATTAATTTAACCTGCTTTATTTGGGGGTGGACCTCACCTCCTCTAGGGGGGTGCGGGGGCATGCATGGAAGTTTTTAAAGTTGACCTATCATGCTATATTTGAATAATATAGTGTAGGACCATTCTGTCATATAGTACACATTGGAATGATTTCTTACTTTACCTATATTAAATAGATAAAGGTGTGCTCTCCATAGCTCTCTCTCTCTCCGTCTGTCTGTCTCTCTCTCTCGCTCGCTCACAGAGGCTGTGTGCTCCTCCTTGGCGACGACGGCTTGCGTTAAAAAAAAATAATACACATATTTGTAAAGTGGGGGGACACAAACGGGATTTCGAAAAGTGCGGGGGACATGTCCCCCCTGTCCCCAGTGGAAATTACGCCATGCGTGTGTGTGCGTCAAGTGCAATAAATATATATGCAAGTTGCAACACACAGAGTAAAGCTCTGCCCCTCATGTGTTGTATAGACTGGCACGACTAGGCTGTTCAATGGGGCTGATGTGTTGTGTAGATTCTGCCAGAAGGAAAATCAGCAGGGAGGTGCCACATTGCTTTTCTTCCCGACTGCAACGCTGGTCCCGCAAATCAAGCAAGAACGTGATTGGTCGATATTCATTGTGGGGGTGGGGGGAGGAGGGGTTTTAGATATAGAGTTGTAGTAAGTAGATAGAGTTCGCTATGATTTAGGTTTATTTTATGCATAGGGTAGATTCTTTTAATTACATTTCCTTTTTTGGTTTGTGTATTTTATACATTTTGGATTTGCTTGGGGAGCTATATTTAGAACATGCCCCTGCGGGCGACTCACGTTGCCCCTGCGGGCACCGTGTTGGCTACCCCTGCATTGGAGACTTATATAATAGGGGATATTTGCCCATAAATAAA